GGAGAGGAGAGGAGAGGAGAGGAGAGGAGAGGGAACGGCCTCAGGCTGTGCCAGGGGCCATGGGGATGACATGTCAGGTTGGACATCGGGAAAACCCTCCAAAGGCTGCCAAGGGCAGGGCTGGAGAACCTTTCCCTGCAGGGATTGAAAGCCTGGCTGTGGCACTTGGGGGCACGGATTTGTGATGTCCTGGCAGAGCTGGGGATGGTTGCACTCCATGGTCTAGGAGGGCTTTTCCTCCCTCAGTTCCCGTGATTTACTTCGGCTCCAGGAGAGCTCCGGGGCCCTGCAGAGCCGGGACGGGCACAGCCCCAGCCGGGATGGGCACAGCCCCAGCCGGGATGGGCACAGCCCCAGCCGGGACGGGCACAGCCCCAGCCGGGACGGGCACAGCCCCAACCGGGTCCCCGCATCCCCCTGGCACTGCCAGCCCAGGGCACGGCGTCAAACTCTTTATTTCCAGCCAGTGAAACTCTCTTTATTTCCAGCACAAACACCTCCCCGATGCGGCACCGAGCCCCGGGAGCCGCTTGATGCCGTCCCGTGGGGTTCCCCGTGGCAGTCTGTGCTGCTGAGCGGCTGTGTGATCAGATAACGCATTTATTTGATCGGATAATGCATTTATTTGATCGGATAAGGGATGTGCTCCGTGTACGTGTCAGGAATCGCTGCGTTCCCGGAGCAGCGCGGTGTCAGGAGCAGCCTTTGATCCGCCGAGATGCGCCAGGCACCGCTCGCACGGCGCCGTGAATCACTCGGGACTGCGGGCGCTGCCAGAGCCCAAATTCAGCCTTGATGACTCAAATGGGACAATCGCAACCCAGCAGGGGCTTGGCAGCCCCCAGGCGAACGGGGGCAGTTTTTGGGGTGTGGCGGTCTGTGTAAGAGCAGAGGGGGTCAGCAGCCACCGCCCGGGGCTGATCACACAAACCGACCTTTGTTTGGCAAAGCTGGGTGGGAACAGATGAGCAATAATAAGAAGCGGATCTTGCGGTGGAATAATGCTTTTTATCAGGGCTTTTTATCAGGGCGATGTTCTCCCCTGCTCAGGTGTGAAATTTCCTCCCGAGAAGGTGTCGGGACATTCCCCAGGCCTGGGGGTTTTCATCCCTCCTTATGGGGCAGAACTGACCCAACTGCCCCTCGGGCGGGATGGGACACGGCTCCGGAGCTGGAAATGTCACCCGGGGAGCAGTGTGGGTTTTTCACTGTCCTTGGTGTCACTTCCCAAGCTGCAGAGCCCTCACACGCCCCCAGGCTCTGCCCCTGTGCTGTCACGGAGTCTCTTTGTCCTGCAGAGAGATGCCAAGGGCCAGTACCTGTTTGACCTCCTGTGCCACCACCTGAACCTGCTGGAGAAGGATTACTTCGGCATCCGCTTCGTGGACCCCGACAAGCAGAGGGTGAGAGGGAGCCGGTCCTGCCCGGCCTGGGGCAGCGGGGCTCGGGCTCGGGCTCGTCCTTGCAGCTGCAAAGCGGAGCGTGGGGCAGAGATGTGGGACACGATGGGTGCCGGCAGTGCCGAGGGGCTCTTCCCCAGCCAGGGGGGCTCTGGGTGCTCCGTTCCTTTGCCCAGGGGACAGGGATCTGCTCCCGGCAGATGTCCCCAGGGGTCTGGGATGTCCCCAGGGGTCTGGGATGTCCCCAGGCTGTGGCAGCAGGATGTGTGTGCCGGAGGGGCTCTCCCGGCTCTGGGGACCCTGCCCGGGGTGTGCAGAGCTCAGATGATGCTGCTGCGGAGCAGAATCCTCCTCATCCTCATCCTCCCCACCTTACCAAGTCATGGCTGTCAGACTTTAATAACTTTCTTTTCCTTTCAGCATTGGCTGGAGTTTACCAAGTCGGTTGTGAAGCAGATGCGGGGTGAGTGTTGCAGGCGGTCTGGGCAGGCTCCGTGCTCCTTCCATCTCAGGTGTATTCCCATTTTCTCCAGCCTGTCCCCTCTGGGTCCCAGCCCCTGTCCCAGGCTCCCCCAGAAGCTGTTCTGGTGGGATCATCCCCTCCAGCCTCCATGGGCTCCAGGACAGCAATGGTGGGGTGAGGGAGTGACATTTGGGAGTTGGTTGGGTGGCATTGACAGAGCCACTGGCACACTGCCACAGCTTTAGCAGGGACATTGCTCCTGCCATGGCCAAGTGAGGAGTGTCTGCCCCCCTTTACCCAGGGCAGTTTGGGGGAACAAGGCAGGTGAGACCCCGAGCAGGACCTGGCTCCAGCAGGGTGCTCCAGGGGTGAGGGTGTAGATACAGGAGCCCGGGAAAGCAGAGTTTTCCCAGGCGTTTCAAAGAAATCAGAGAGGAAAGAATTAATAAACAAAAGCTGCACCTGCTGTTGTTGACATTGCACGTGTGTGAGTCGAGATGTTTGGGTAAAAGCAAGAGGTGTTGCCTTCCTTGGACCAATGGGCTGACTCTGTCCTCGGGTCAGTGTTCTATAAAAATGTGTAGTTCTGCAATAAAGAAGCTTCTTGTGCCCCTGAGAGGAAGCCGTGTCGCTGGGTCTCCTTTCACTGCTCCTACAGCAACAGCGACATGAGGGGACAGCCCTGCCCTTGGTGACACGGTGTCCCTGCTCTCTGCAGCCCAGCCTCCTTTCACCATGTGCTTCCGTGTCAAGTTTTACCCCACGGACCCCGCGGCGCTGAAGGAGGAGATCACCAGGTGAGCAGGGGCAGCACGGGGGTCTGGCTGGGCCAGGAGCACAAGGACAGGCTTGGGTTTGCAGCCAGGAAACAGCAGCAGCCTTTGGGATTTCCCAGCCAGCCCGGATGCTTTGGGATTGTTCCTGCTGTGGGGGAAAAGCTCAGGAGTCCCCACCTGGAGCTTGGTGGGGAGCACAGGCTGAGGGTGCCCAGAGCAGCCCTGGCTGCCCCTGGATCCCTGGGAATGCCCAAGGCCAGGCTGGACACTGGGGACAGTGGGAGGTGTCCCTGGCATGGCAGGGGTGACACTGGGTGGACTTTAAGGTCCTTTCCTGCCTGGAGCACCCCTGGGCCGGTCTGTGGGTGCAGTCAGTTCCAGTCCCACGTTCCAGGGCACAGCATGGCCCTGGCTCTGTCACACGGTCACTGCAGCTCGGGCTCCTCCAGAGCCAGGCCCTGGTGCCCTGTCCCAGCTCGGGCTGTCCTCACTGAGCCCGGCCTGGCTGGAAGGGTTGGAGTGTCCCAGGTCCCCTGAGGTGCCCTGGGGGCAGCGAGCCCTGTCCCTGTGACATCAGGAGTGTGGGGTGAGGAGCTGCCATGGACAGCCTGACAGAACAGCCTGACTGAGAGCTCAGCCTGACAGAACAGCCTGACAGAACAGCCTGAGAGCACAGCCTGAGAGCACAGCCTGACTGAGAGCATAGCCTGAGAGCACAGCCTGACAGAACAGCACAGCCTGACAGCACAGCCTGACAGAACAGCCTCTCCTGAGTTTCTATCTTTAGGGGCTCTTCATGCTGCTCTTCCTGCCGGCAGGAAGGACACAGAGCCCGTGCAGAGCAATCCCAGCAGCTCTGGAGCACGAGCTGTGGCTGTGGATCCCAAACAGCCCCCGGGTCAGCCCTGCCTGGGCTGGAGCTTCTGGAGGGTTCTGAGCTGGCACCTTCTGTGGGGACACCTGAGAGCCCCTTCCCCGAGACCTGAGAGGGATTTTGGACAAGGTTTTGCAGTGCTCAGTGCCAGGGCAGGCTGAGGGGGGATGTGGAAATTCTCGGCCAGGGTGGGGAGCCCCTGGCACTGGAGCAGCCTGGGCTGGTGTGTCCCTGCCCATGGCAGGGGCTGGAATGCAGAGAAGAATTTCCTCCCAAACCTTATCTAACTGTGCCTTCTGACACCCCCCAGGGCCAGGCTGAGGGGAGCTGCCCCTGCTTGCAGCCCTTTGAGCTGTGCCTGCAGCTGCAGCTGGAACTCGGGCTTAAATTTCACTTTTCCCTGGACTGAGCCCACTTTAATACCGAGATTTCTCTCTAATGTATTTTATCTGTGAAAATTAATGGTTTGCCTCATCATAAACTCAGATTTGAGCAATGAGGCATGACCAAGGACTGCAGAGTGCGAGTCTGCTTATTTAAATTTATTTCTGAGCGTTCCATTTTGCTCCTTCACTCCATGGCTTACGTTTCCCCAGCTAAAGGTTTTCCCAAATGCCACATGACGCAGCCCAAAATGTTACTCAGGTTTAAATTTATTGGGATATGCAATTTTTCCAACATGGTTTGTCCTTTCACTGGGCACAGAGACAGGGCTGGGGGAATCATCCCTGCCCAGGGCTGCTCATGGTGAGCACAGAGGGACGTGGGTGTGCACAGCAGGACCTGGAGGGACACAGAAAGTTTGGGAAGGGGAAAATCACGTTATGGGGGAGCTGCACATGCAGGGAAAATGCAGCAGGTGCTGGTGGGCTCTGGATGGTGAGAACTCCTTCAGAGCATCAGGCTGGGCTGGGGTTTGTGGGCCTGAGCCCAGATTGGGGCTGGGTTTGTGGGTCTGAGCCCAGATTGGGGCTGGGTTTGTGGGTCTGAGCCCAGATTGGGGCTGGGTGTTTGGGTCTGAGCCCAGATTGGGGCTGGGTTTGTGGGTCTGAGCCCAGATTGGGGCTGTGTGTTTGGGTCTGAGCCCAGCCCTGGCCAGGCTCAGCCCAGCCAGTGCCGTGTGTGGTGAATGTGCTGCTGGCACAGAGATGTCAGAGCGAGTGTCTGCATTTATTCCCTGGCTAAATTGGCAGTTGGGGTGATTTAAGCTGTCCCTAACAAAGAGAACTCTCCTGCTGTGCCCAGGTACTTGGTTTTCCTGCAGATCAAGAGGGATCTGTACCACGGCAGGCTCCTGTGCAAGACGTCGGACGCGGCGCTGCTGGCTGCCTACATCCTGCAGGGTGAGGCACCAATTCCCTTCTCCTGCACAGGAGCCCTCCCAGCCCTGCCCTGGGAGCAGCCCAGGGCACCTGCAGCACCCCTGGCACCCTGCAGGGCTGGGGGAGGGTGGGGATGGGTGCTGGGCTCACCTGTACGGGGGGGATGATATCCCCAAGAGCCCCTGCCCGTTCCCCCTGCCCGTTCCCCCGCCTGCTCTCCTGCAGTTGAGCAATTGATAAATCTGGGACAGTGACTCTCTGCTGCCGAACACAGAATTAACTGGGGGCAGTGAATGCTGACGGACAATCCCTCCCAGGGGAATCAGAGCGGGGTCGGGGCGGCTCCAGGCTGGGGATGCACTCTGTGCTCTGCTCCTGCTGCTCTGCCCCACTGGAGCTGTCTCCCACCAGCTGAGATCGGCGACTACGACCCAGGGAAGCACCCAGAAGGTTACAGCTCCAAGTTCCAGTTCTTCCCCAAGCACTCGGAGAAGCTGGAGAGGAAAATCGCGGAGATCCACAAGTCAGAGCTCAGGTAGAGGAGCTGAGGGGTGGGTGGAGCTCAGGGCACTGCTGGGATTGTCCCTGTCTGGGATTTTCACTCAGGTGCAGGAGCTGAGGGGTTGGTGATGCTCAGGGCACTTCTGTCCCTGTCTGGGATTTTGGGGAGGAAAAATCTGAGCCCTCATGTGTCACATCCAGCTGGGACCTGCTCCAGCCCAGCCAGCACAGCCCAGGGATGGGGACAGTGACCCTGACAAACCCCTCCTGCCCTGAGCCCTCTCCAGTGAGGATTGGGGACCATCAGCAGCCCCCATCATCCCCTGGCACTGCTGGGGCCTCTGGAGCTGCGTCCTGAAGGGTTCCCAGGCAGGGAACTGGATTTAATTTCCCAAAACCCCATCAGAGCTGTGTCCCTGTGTGCCAGGGGCCGCTGCCTTCTGCCACCGAGCTCCCCTCGCCCTCCCCCCGTGAGATGTTTGTGCTGCAAGCAGGGAATTCGTCCCCACATTTTTCAGGTGCCTTTGAGCCTTCCCCGTGCTGCCAGCTCAGCACCACTGGCTGCTCAGTGGCTCCTGTGGGTGCTGAAAAATCTGATGGGGATGTGCTGTGGCTGATGCTCCATCGCTGCCACGATCCCTGGAGCTGCCTTTCCCCTCCCTGCCTGCCATGGAATTTTGGTTTTTTTCCCTGTTTTTCGCTCCTGCAGTGGGCAGACACCAGCTACTTCAGAGCTGAATTTCCTCAGGAAAGCGCAGACTCTGGAGACCTACGGGGTTGACCCTCACCCATGCAAGGTAAAGCAGCTCCTGAGGCCGTTCCCGGGGGGCTCCTGGGGTTGGGGTCCTCTCTGTGGCCAGGGGTGACACACTGAGGAGCCGGGCACTGTCCCAGGTGTTTTGTCACCTGCCAGTGGCTCTGGGGCTGTGCTGGGGTCACCAGCCTTGGCCCCATCCCTGGCCAGTGTGAGAGCACCAGTGTAGCCCTGGGAAGGGCTTTTAACCCTTTAAGTGCAGCAGAAATAAGATGCACGGCTCCACGGTTGTTTTTTATGATGGAAAGGAAGAGCCAAGTTTATTCAGGAACACGCTTGGTTTTATGGCATGGCTGCAACTCCCAGAGTAGAGAAAAGGAGATTGGTTCAGAGAGAAGACACCCCATGGCCAGGCCTGGGCACACACCACAACAGGGCTTCTCTCTTGGTATTAATTCCTTTTTATTTTGACCAAATGATCACCCTGGGAGAAATTCTCCCTGGCCTTGAGCTGGAGCAGCTCATGGGCTGGGAACAGAGCTGAGAAGCTCCAGCCTGGAATATTTTTCAGGCTGTAATTTTCTTACTTTCTCAGTATATGTGTCCCACACACCAGGGCAGTGGGGAGGGCTCTGAGACCCCCCCAGGGTACCAGGAAATCCAAATGAAAGCCACAGGGAAGGTTCTCAGTGCAGCCAGCTGTGCCAGGGCTGCATCCTCTCCTGCATTAATCTGCCAGCCCTGAGCCCTGCCCATGCTCCAGTTTGCTGCTGGATTTGCTCTTTATTGACTGAGGAAGTCGCTGCATGTGGCCCCTCTGGTCCCTGTAATCCCATCACGTGCAGATGGATGTGGGACACCAAACAAACAGAAAATTCTCCTCGCAGGCAGTGCCTGTGCTGGGGCTTTTCCCTGGATTTGCCACATGAACACAGCTGCAGTAAATTGGGGTTTTCCCGTTTTGGGGCAGTTTCTGAGTACCCAAGAGGTTGCTTTGCTCTGAATTCCCTCTGAAGCAGTGTCTTGCCAGTAGCCACCACTGGTGACCTTTGGAGTCAGGAAATTGCCAGCCTGGCACTCCAAGAGCCTTTTGAACATATTTGATTTACACTAATTAATGTTCTTAGAACAGCTAAGGACAAACATACTCACTTGTCTGTCTATCAGCAGAACTCTGCCTAATCCATCAAGAGCTGCTCTTAAAGGACCTGGAAACCAAAATTTATTAATTAAATGAAGCCGATTCTGTTTTTCCTTCTCCAGTGGATCACGGGGAAGTTTGGATGAGGGGTTGTTCCCTCTGCCCAGCCATCCCCAGCTCAGAGTCCCTTCACTCAACCCTCTGAAGTTTCCATGGTTCTCTCATGGCAGTTTCCCCAAAAAATAACAAAAAAAAAGAAAAATCTTCCCTTCTCACCTGAGCCTGGGCTGTGCTTGGGACTGGTTTTTGTGCAATGCCTGTAGGAATGTGTGTGTGACACAACTTCAGGCCTGGCACAGAGGGATTCCCGTTCTGACATTTTCACATTTCCAGAGTCCAGCCTGGCCCTGCGTTCCCCGGGCAGGGCAGGAGGGTCCCTGAGCCCTCCCCTCCCCTGGCATTGGCTTCAAGGCTCTCATTAACGGCTGGGGCTGGGCTGGCTCGGTGCCACCCGGGCTGGGCAGGGCTCCGAGGGAGGGAAGTGCAGCTCGGGGTTATCATGTTCTGGCTTAATTGCTATATTTAATATTTATATATTTAGGACTCGGACGTCAGAGATCCTTGTGGGTCCCTTCTGACTCAGGGTATTCTGAGATAATATAATAAATAACCATATTAAACTATATATATTATATATATATACATATATACATTATTATATTAACCAAATATACTTGGTTAATATTATAATAATAACCATATATAATATTATATATGTTCTATATAACCAAATAGAGAATTAAAATATAATTATATATTTGGCCAATATGATCAATATATTTGGTTAATATTATATATGAACCAAATACATTGCATATATCTATAGAATATACATATATATACACATATACATATATATGTATATATACATATATATAGTGTAGTATAGTTACAATATATAAATAATTTATAATAAATAAAAATATATAAAATATATAAAAAATAATAATTAAATAATAAATAATAAGTAAACATTAGTTGCAACAACTACACCAATGTATTATATTAATAGAAAAAATTCTATCTATGTCAATGCAGAGGACACCAGGTAAGTGTGAGACCCTGCTGGCACCCCGGGGTGCAGTGCCCGGCTCTGGGGCCAGCCCAGCTGTGCCGGTGGCCACCAGCCCTGGCTGTTGCCTTGCAGGACGTGTCTGGCAATGCAGCGTTCCTGGCCTTCACCCCCTTCGGCTTCGTGGTCCTGCAGGGCAACAAGAGAGTTCATTTCATCAAGTGGTGAGTGCAGCTCAGGGCTGAGCTCCCTCCAGGTGCGGGGTTCCCCCTGCAGGGTCCTGTCCTGCCCTGGGCACCCCCCAGGTGTGGGCACCACCCAGAGCTGCCCCAGGCTCGTTGTTCTCTACGTTTGTCCCCGTTAAACTTCACCATCCCCATGGCAGCCACATCCCGAGCCCCCCCAGCCCCCGTGAGCCCCCCCAGCCCCCGTGAGCCCCCCCAGCCCCTGTGAGCCCCCCCAGTTGTCCCTGGCTCAGTTTGCCCGGGTTTGGCCGCTGTGCCCCTGGCACTGGTCCATGGGATGAGCCCCCTCTGACCCTCAGCTTCACCCCGGGCTGTTCCCAGCTCCAGCCACGGCTCTGTGAGCCAGGGCTGCTCTCACCAGCCTGCGGCCCCTCCTGGGGGGGAAAACAGCTCTGGGAGCTGGGTGGGCTCTGGGGTGGGCTCTGGGCTGGGCTGGGCTCAGGGCTGGGCTGGCTCTGGGCTCCCCACAGCTCCCACCTGCCTGTCCTCGCCCCTGCAGGAACGAGGTGACCAAGATGAAATTCGAAGGGAAGACTTTCTACCTGTATGTGAGCCAGAAGGAGGTGAGTGTTTGCCCTCCCCGTGGCACACCCTGGGCACGGAAAAGGATTCTCTGGGCACAGCAGCTCCGTGCAGAGCTGGGCTCACCTCCCTGCTCCTGCTGTGCCCAGATCTGGGCCCTGGAGCCCGCAGCCCCCCTTTGCCCCTCCCTCGGGATTATTCCCAAGGCCATTCCTTATTCATTGCCACCATCCCTCACCGTCAGCCACGGCACCTCTGGCTGGAATTTTTGCGGGTTTTTTTTGCGGGAATTTTTGTGGTTTTCTGGCTGCTCCCAAAGGCTGGGAGCAGAGTGGGAGCTGTGGAATGGAGCACATCCCCCATGCCGGGGGCTGCTCCAGGCTGATCCCTGATCCCAAATGGCCCCGGGGCAGGATCTGCCCCTCTCCAGCTCTGCCTGCTCCATTCTTTGTCTGTGGGATGGGCCCCACCAGTGACTCCCTGGCTTTCTCCTTTAGGAGAAGAAAATCGTTCTCACCTATTTTGCCCCCACACCAGAAGCCTGCAAACACCTCTGGAAGTGCGGCATCGAGAACCAGGCTTTCTACAAGTGAGTGTTGCTTTGTGGGGTGTCCTGCAGCCCCCGTGGGTGGGTGCCCCCCTGTGGGCTCCATCCAGGCCCCAGGGTGGTCACTGGCCATGTGGCACCTGGTCCCAGTGGCCCTGGCAGAGCCAGCAGCCACCAAAATCACCGGTGGCCCTGGATGGGGATCCCTCCTCTCCCAGCCCCCCTGAGCTCATCCCTCTGCAGCAAACTTCCATCAGGAAATTATAACTAATTATTTGGGATGAAGCTGGCATGCCAAGCAGCACCGTCCTGCTCTGCCATACTTAACCCAGGCCTCTTTGTGCTTTGTAATGAGTTTTATTTTAATCAGCAAGCTGCGAGACAGAGCATGCGATGCATTCCCACCGGGAATTCTGCAATCAGCAGCTGCAATCAGCAGGTTTCACTCCTCATTACATGAACACGAAATGAAATTGCAATATTGCTTTACAAATCTCTCTGTGATTAATTGTGGCACTGAATCACGGCTGGTTGTGCACCCATGCTGGACCAGGGGCAGGGCTGAGGAGCTGCTGGGCATTCCCGGGGTGGGATCAGCTCCTGTGGGATGGGATCAGGTCCTGTGAGATGGGATCAGCTCCTGTGAGATGGGATCAGCTCCAAGCCCCTGCAGAGCCCTTGGCACTGGGGCTGTCCTGGACACGCTCCCCTGGGCTGGGGTGTCCCACTGGCCAGTGCCACCACCAGGGCCAGCAGTGTCACTCCTGGTGACATTGCCACCTCCAGGGCTCTGCTCCTGTCACCTGGGCAGGCTCCCAGGGCCAGGCCAGCAGGGCAGGGCTCTCACACCACTCCTGGTGCTGTTGCAGGTTGGAGAAGTCGAGCCAGGTGAGGACGGTGTCCAGCAGCAACCTGTTCTTCAAGGGGAGCCGCTTCCGCTACAGGTGAGGGCTGGCAGGGGCTGGGGGGTCACTGTGTGATCTGTGGGGGTGTCACAGCTGTGGGGGTGTCACTGTGTGAGCTCTGGGGGTGCCATCGTGTGCCCCTTTGGGGAGCACTTTGGGGCTGCAGCAGCCCAGGGACATCTGAGGCTCTTGCAGAGATCCCCCATTGCAGCACTGACCCCACCAGGCCACCTCTGCCTCTGTGTCACAGAGGCCACCTCTGTCCCCAACCTCACAGGAGAGGTTTTGGAGGGACAGGAGTGGAGGGTGGGAGGTTTGGGGGTTGAGAAGAACAAGGTGTGGAACAAATCTCCACTCTACCTAAATTCCTGTACTGAGCAAGAGCCTGGACCTGGGACCTCGTGTCTGCAGGATAAGACACCCCAGAGTGTCCCCAGCAGTGTGGTGACACCACAGTGCTGGCACCTCCTGGCTGGCATGGGAGGACCTGGATGCCCGTGTTGTGTCCATCTCAGCTGAGGGGAGGTGACCCCTGGTGTCCAGCATCCCATGCCAGAACCAGCAGCAAACTCTGGTGGCAGAGGTGTCAGCCCAGCCCTCCGAGCTCCTCCATCGCCCCATTCCCCTGGAGAAAGCATTCCTGCTTTCCAAAACATTCCTGCTTTCCAAAACATTCCTGCTTCCCCTGGAGCTGCCTGGGGAGGGGCCCAGGCTGGGCACGGTGTGCCCACGTGGCTGCCAGGGCTGTGCTCTTGTCCTCACCTCTGCTGCTCTGCCCCACCTGCAGCGGCCGTGTCGCCAAGGAGGTGATGGAGTCCAGCGCCAAGATCAAGAGGGAGCCCCCCGAGATTCACCGGTGAGAGCTGGGCAGGAGCTCCAGGGGTGGGAGTGTGGGGTGGGGGCACGGCCAGGGCACTGCTGTGTGCCCAGGTGGGAGCAGGCTGTGTCCTGACCCTGTCCCCTGTCCCTGTCCCCAGGGCCGGGCTGGTGCCCAGCAGGAGCTGCCCGTCCATCACTCACGGCCCCCGGCTCAGCAGCGTCCCCCGCACCCGGAGGAGAGCAGTGCACATCTCCATCATGGAAGGTAGGGCAGGGGCACGGGGGGAACACACACCTGAGCACGTACACACACACAGGTACACACACACCTGAGCA